AGAGATAAAAATATTGTAGTCTAGCCAAAACCAGGCGAAAAGGGGACCTGAAGGTGGTCCTGGGGGTACAAAGGGAGAGGAGCTTAACACCAGAAAGGGAGGAAAATATGTTTTAACGTTGCTGGCAGAAGAACAAATGATGCTAAACTGCCCATGAACACCTTTATGCTGGCAACAAAAATGGGGGTGGCAAACCTCCCAGCAGTGAGATTTTGCAACAGCCTTACAAGCAGCATAGAGGGCAAAAATCAAACGCATCCTCCCTCTTCTACCTTTTAACTGGTTTTAGGATCGATGAATTTGTGAGCAGGGGCATGGTGGGTGGCTGCTGGCAGCGGGTGTGCCCAGCGCATCCCTCCCCAGCCCAAGTCCTGCAGAACACCTTTCCCTGCCTACACCAGCACATGCTGGGGTGAGCTCCCGTGGGATCTACGGGGTGACACGGGAGTTGGGGGTTTAGGGGAAGGTGACATAAAACTTCTGAAGACTGAAGGTCTGATGGCTGCAGGGTTGTATGAGCTGCGGGTTGTTACGCTCCTTTGCACGAAGGAAAACCAAGTGGTTAGTACGTGCTGGTTTAATTCCTTCTGTGCTGCTGAGACTGACACTGGCATTGTGGTGGGGCAGTCGTAAATGAGGTAGCATGATCCTGTGGTGTTGCTTTTTTGGGAAAAAAAAAAAATTGAAATGTAATAATAACCTTTTTTACAGCTTTTTACAGTTTTATGGGAAAATACAAGAATTAATCCAGATGGCACTCAATCTCTTTATTAGCATATATAGGCACAGAGTGCTTATAATACCAAACCGTATCTTTTTTATTGAACTGCTCTAGAAAGCCATTCTTCTGATGGATCACAGTTCTTCGTGGGGAGGAAGAGAGTTTCAATTATCCTTTGACACATGAAAAAAAAAACATTACTAGTGAACAAACCCTCCAAAAATAAAACTAGGTAAGCCTCTTCCACTAAGGGTGGAAAAAAACCTGATCATGCTGACCAAACTACTCACTACAAAGGGATTTCACTGACCTTACAAGGCAGTAAAAGAGAAAACAACTTGAACAATAACCTGATGTTTTAACTGATCAACTTTGTTTTAAAGTTTGGGGATCATAATTGCCCCAAAAGCTGTTCAATGTAAATTACGCCATTTACACTGGTGAATGCGGCAGAGATTCAAGTGCTGGGTGTCAAGAACGAAACCGCTCCAGCATTAACGCAGGTCGGTACTTGTGCGGGGGGCTTGCAGCCATCCGGGGACTAGCAGCTGCAACTCCATCTCGTTTGGGTGAACGAGCAGTTCCTCTCTCAAATTCAGAGGAAATTTCACATTTCCAAGGACTTCTATGCGCCTGACAGTAGCAAACCTTTAGACAACAGTTTTCAAAAACTTGCTGATATGAGATGGTCTCAGTGCAAAAGACCCTATCCTCCACTAGCTCACGCCTTCATCACATAAGCCATTGCCACTTTGATGGGCTCTCAAGGAGCTGCTCCTGCCTTCCAATTGTAATTGTGCATTTGTAGGTGTGATTTGTAGTGTGTTTGCCCCCTTTTAGGCTATGCTTTTTTATCCTCCCATGTGTCCCATCCAGGTCCAAGCCTGGCTGGAGCTGGCTGGAGAAGTGCTGGGTTGGTCGCAGACTGAGAGCAAAGCGCTTCATAAGTGTATGTGGGATTCCACATTCAAACTACGTGCTTTGTGAAAGAAATGAACTTGCATGGCTTGGCTGGAGGCAATGAAAGGGGAGTACTCCAGCAATGTCCTTATTCTCCCAGATCATCCTGAGAAAGAATTTTTAAAAGTTGGAAAGTTTATCATGGGTTCCACCTACCTCTGCCTTGGGAACACCCAGCTAAGTCCCACAGCCATCCCCACAGAAACCGTCCTTGCTGATCCCAACAGCCAAGTGCTGTAGTCGCTGCAAAGTCCACATTTGCACAATTATGTATTTGACGTCCAATTTAAAAATACATCAGAAACATTACTAGAACTGAATCATAGGGTTTAGCAAATTTCATAGAAGAGCCGCCAGTTCAAACTCCCTTCGTCTGATTGTCAGTTCAAAAATTTTACAAATACTACATTCATTTTCACACCAAAATGAAAAAAAAAAAAAACATAATCAAGACTAGGAAATACATATCTCAGTTTGTACTTCTTACTTATGGCCCAGACAAAGTAAAATCCCATTGCTTTTTCAGTGGCTTACATCAGGAATGCAAAGGAAGATGACACTATTCCTAAATCAGCATCTGAAAGAGAAAACCAGCTTTTCTTAGCACCTTCTTCTGCACTCAAGCAGAGTAAAACTGCAATAGGCATGGGAATAAATTTCCTTTCATACAAAGACCTGGGCTTTTCAGGACAAACAGATTATCCTGTCCTGAAAGAAGATGCCTGTGGTCTTTGGCTGTCAATTGAAAACCTTTATACAACACTCAACACGGTCCTCGACCAACGGAAAGAAAAATCAAAGTACAAAGACAAAATACGGATTTCAGTTTGCAGTGTTAGTTTGAGATCTACACAAGCAAGCATGATCTCCATTTCATTATCTTCAGGCTGTCTTCATTATCTTCACAGCTGCCCGAGCATGAGAGAACATCGCAGGGTGCCTTCCAAATCCTCCCTTCCCACGGAGTCCCCCATCACGCTGCCGTCATCAACCATGTGGCCAGAGGTCTGCCCGGCGCTTCGAAGATGCTTCTCTTGGCCTGTGCTGATCAATTGGTGTCCAAATTTCAGTTTACTCTGAGCTGATTTTTGGAAGAGATAAAGTCGAGGGAAAAATGGGAAAATACTTTAAAGGATATGAAATGCTTCATGTTTTACATCAAAAATGATTGACAGATTGCCACTCTTTTTTTTTTCCATATTCCGTTTCATCTAATCAGGACAGTGAAATCAGGTGTCATAAAATACAGCAGAATAAGGTTTGTCATCAGCTTAGCGTTGCGAAGCGAGAGTGTGTGCGCCCGTCCCCAAACGGTGGGGACCTCGTGCAGCACTCACTGCTGCTCCAGCCCAGCTCCAGCCAGGAGCGTCGCTGCAGCTGCTGCTCAAACCAGAAAATGAGCAAAAAGGCGCTGCCCAGATGGCACGATGGTCAGAGACAGAAAAGGAAAGGTAACAAGGGAGTCTGCTGCAAAAACTCTGCGCATCCACTTCTGGCAGGGCTCCTAGCAGCCTTGGGAAAAGCCAGCCCCTCTGAAGATAGTCACGCCAAAAATGTCCACAAAGAAGCCTCTTGGACGATCCTGCAGTTCCGTGGCTTTCACAAGAGATCAGCGGGAGGATATATGTGAAGGTTTGGTTTCCACAAATCCTGAAGTATGAGACACATCAAGCAAAAGCAAACATGCCTAAGCAAAAATCTGCATTGGAGTCTCACCATACCTGACCTGGTCCTCCATCCACAATTAAAATCCAGTGCTTGCCAGCGGGAAATTTGTTTGTTTGTTTTTAAGGGTGTCAAACTCCACAGTCCATCCAGACTCAGAGCTCCCACCATCTTCCGAGCAGCCTTCCCACTGTGGCAAGCGAGATTACAGACACCACTAACTGCCTACAAACCAGGGAGCCGACAGCATCCTCAGAAAGCTCCAGCCCCTGAGCATCACCAGTATGGACCATTATATCTTCAGACAACATAAATTTATCAAGGGAAAAACCAAGCCATCCCAGTTGCGCCCATCCGGGGCGCACGGGCACGTTGCCCAACAAACACACATACCACTTGGCATACCTTACCTGGAAAGAGGCTTTATTGAACATAGCTGTAAAATTATCTCTTCAGTTGAAGTACTGAATTTGCACAAACATTTCTCTACAGAATAAAAAAAATCAAGCCTTGTCATTGTTTTACTGCATCTCATTGTGCTTTTTATACTCATATTTGCAAATAATATACTCATTTGTTTGTTTGTTTTCATGTTTGTACTCCAATTACTTGCATATCAGTTTTTTTTTATCCTAGGGTGTCGAGAGAACACATAATAATAATAATAATAATAATTATAATAATAATACTCTTCTTTAGACAAAAGTCTTTTTTTTTTTTAAATGAAGTTAAAAGCTGAGATAATTTAAGGAAAAAGGTCTTCAAATTGTCATAACCAACTGTAAGGGAACTTTACAATGCAGTGGAAAATTGGCTGGCTAATGGTATTTGTTTGGGTAGCTCAAAACCATTTGTACAGCTTTTATTTTTTTTGTTGTAAAAGTGGATTTTTTTTCCTTTTTTTTTTTTTTTTTTTATTTTCGCTACAATAA